TTTAATTAAAATAAATTAATGAGTATTTTTTTTAAATCTATTTTTATTTGAAAAACCACTGATAAATTATTATTCGTTTTTAATTAAAATAAATTCATCAATAATCTTTTTTAAATGTAAGTATTTTTTTTTTGTGAATATAATATGTAAGTAATTTTTTTGGTTGAAAAAATGTTTAGGAACTTAATCGTTCAAAATATGAAATTCTATTGGACTTTTTTTTTTCCAGATTTTTACCATATTAACAAGTTTTATAAGTTATAAAGATGTATCTGACATATTTTAGAAAGTACAAAGTCATTTAATAGGTTTTGAAATGTATAAGGACCTAATTATTCCAAACATTTCCTTTCTTTTTTAACCAGATTTCAATTGTTTTAGTTTTGTAATATTCCAAAGACATTTATTAACTTATTTTTATGAATAAATTTATTTATTAAACAATTAGGATTTATTTTTTAAAATTCTTAAGAGTTACTCCAACCAAAAATTGTATTTCCTAATCCCCTAAGAACCAACAATTAGGCAAGGCCATGGTAACTCGTCACTTAACCGGTCCAACTTTAAAAAATGGTAACTGGTCCCGGGCACTAACCCACCTCTAGTCCCAGGTCAGTCTCGAACCTAATGCACAACCATAGTCAATCCTCAGGTGACCCTCAATTTCAAAATATAAACCTCAAGCAGCTTAGACACATCAACTTTTCAAAAATCTTGATAAAACATAACGCATTATCAAATTAGTCGACATATAAGATACTAACAACAAAACAGAACACCAGAAATCTAACTGTATTCTAGATAAAACCCGGGACTTCCCCAGGCATCGGAGCCAACTCGTTGGTATTGAACCTCTCCTCCTCGTAGAAAGTGGCACGGACAACCCTACCCCCAAAAAACCGACCTTCAAGATCAACTAGTGCTTTCGTTGCTTGCTCTGATCTCTCAAACTGCACAAAAATTCTAACCGCTTCATCAACCGGAAAGTTAGGCTCTGTTATCTCAAATATCAACACCCTTGTCACTGTCCCATACTTTGCGCACTCCTCAGCAACCTCGGTTTCTAGATCATCATCGACCTCACCTGGACCCACCTTCATTGATAAAAATATTTCATGTCATTCATTTGTTATCATATGCAATTCACCATGACACTTGACACATGAAATATTAAGAAACCAAACAAACCCAGTATATCCTACTCAAAACAGGACGTAAGCAAACTAAAGGGTGGAGCTGTTGTTTCTGTAAAAAGGTAAGAAGAACCAAGACTAGATATAAGGCAATAGAAAGAGAAAAGGCAGTAAGAAGAAATTACAGTGAAACATAGAAAAGGTACAAAGATATAAAAGATGGTAATTCAAAATAAATGTCCACAATTAAAAAGGCACGGAGCTTCAGATATATGTATTATTACACCTTTCTAATTATCTACCCTTAACATGGAGGGAGCACTAATGAATTTCTCATCTCAAGATCAACAGTAGAATTGGAAGGTAAGCGGTTACTTCTGAAAGTGGACACTAAAATAGAATTAATATGAACATTTATTTTGGGACGAAGGGAGTATTGCTTTATAGCGTGTACTTGTAGAAAAATTGGTTGTTCTGGAAATACTTATTTGAGAAATGCAAAATGCAGCCCAATGAAAATAGAGAAGAGTTGTTGAAACCAATGGATTTGAGTCGATGCATTAACACCGTCTTAGATATTTGCATAACACTGGGAAACGAAGCAAAAGTAGAGAAGCAATCGCCTCGGTACAAGGGGATGTTTGACTACAAGTCAAACCCTTTGATAATTGACAAAATAAGAGGGCTCCATGAACCGAGGCCAATATCATACCTTCTTTAAGATGATAATGGGTAAATAGATAATGTTGGCTTAAAAAGGGAATTTGTGCAATTTTCATGGGTTGGAGTATAAAAACATTTTCCAGACTGCCACAAGCCAAGAATGTAGCTACATATGCACAATATAATATATTTCTACAAACTTTGCAAGAAAGAACCAGCAGGAACATCACATTGATCTTCACCACTATTACAAGAGTAGGTGCCATAGAAATTGCACCAAACTCCGGACGTGCTTCACTATTAGCAGAATGGCCAAAATGGACTTCCATCACAACACAATAGGCAGAAATGTTTATAAAGTAACTTTTTGTTTCCAAACTGGAGTAGATGCTTTTGTAATCATGCTTATGGATGGATAAGTATGACAATATTTGCAGACAAGAACAATTGCAATTAACATTGGACATCATCAATGTAATTGATCGTAGAAATATCAAAACACATGCTGCACCTACAGTGATTCTTCCAAGGCACGTCAATAATGCTTTTTGCTATGGCATTCTTTATCATAATTTGACATGAGAGGATTCTTTTAGGGTGCGTTTGGTATGCTAGACAGGACACAACAAAAACTTCTTGTCCTATGCTTGGTGTGATATTAGACTTGTGGACAGGACGGAACTGAGTAGGACAAAAATGCATTTTTTTTGTCCCACCATAATAGGTGGAAGAAAAATCAAGGAGATGGAACAAGATTGGTAAATTACCAAACTACCCATGTCAAATTAAATCCCTAAAATCTTCACTCTCGTCCGTCCAATCCTATCCCGTCTAGTCTCATCCACATAGCATACGTACTCTTAAGGAGGATAAAGTAAGGACCACCTGTTCCCCTCCTGGAGGCATCCACACCATCCGGTCATGAAAAGGGATCGAGACCTATAGGTAGCTTTCTAACTATTGGTGAAAGAAATGCAAACAATCAGTAAACAACACTCCTTTTATCCCAAACCAGTTGGGTTGGCTTAAATGGAACTCATCATAAATTTAGAAAAGAGATGAAACAATCAACACCTGAGGTACATAAATAGCCAGTTCCTTAAAGACATATTGCAGTCTTATCTCTATTGACTACTTCCGCCATGTATTTTTAGAATGCCCTCCTCTCAACAGAACTTCCCCCACAAACCTGGTGCATCCAAAGATCTGTTCTTAAGTTGACAAAACCATTTCAAGTGGTGATGCATTCCCATGTCCACAATCGTAATTCTAACTTTATATTTGATGGGGTTTCATGGTACACTAGACTCTTATTGCTTGCCGCCACATCATCCCTCTTGTCCAATGACCAGCATCCTTTTCAACCTTCCCAGAGGCATCTTCTTAAACACCTTTTATCCAGCCAAACTTGGTACATAATAATTCTTTATATAATCTGTAGTCATGCTTGATGTATATGTAAATCTCTATGGCAGATTGGCAAAAAAGACATTCACTATTTCCAACAATGCTAAATTATGCCTAGCCACATTGCTTTATGGAGGCAATCGACTTATTTCAGAACTTCAACAAAGTAAACTAATAGTCTAATATCAATCGATATGTGTCCAAAACTTCCACTCCCAAGTTGCAATAACATTCAGAATGGCAACTTATACCAACACCACCTGCATATGATCTAACTTCTTTTTCTAATTGTTTTGGGGCAAGAAAGACAAGGTATAACAAATTGAAAGAAGGTAGACTTAAGTAAAAAACATCTAGACGCAAACTGCAAGGGAGTCTCGACTATTCACAAATCAGCAGTTTTCTTCAATTTTTCATTTTGCATTGGCAATTCCTATGAATAATAATAGTTCAACATTTTCATCCCTCTCTCAAAATTAGACACGTGTCATTCTGATTCCACTATGTTTGCCATTTTTTGTCATTAGTGCTTTGACTGATGACTCTGCCATGCTAAACAGGTACCAAAAACCGAATATTTTACTAATTCTTTTTACAATGACAAAGCATCCAACAGTTTCCTTCAAAGATGCTTCTTTGACAGCCCAAGGGGTTAAATGCTGGACTTTTTAAATAAAAAAAATGGGAAGAAAAACAAATTTCTGTTAGCAAAGTAGCCATCATTTTGCCTCTTACTACAATTACCAGGTCATCTACTCTACTGAGCTTTCCAAGCTACCGTTCATGTTCTGGTTTACTCCAAATCCCCAACCCATCGACCACAAACAAAGGGTAAAAAAGGATAAAGAAAATAGCTGATAATCTTCCACTGGACATCTAAACCTTTACGGATCTCATTAGTAGCTCACTTTTTTGTTATTTTATTTCAGGGGTGGCGTTGATTTAATGTGTGGACGAAATCATGTGACTGAGAAATGGAATGGCGAACTAATGATGGTGTGGTGGAGATGAACATGGACGATCATGATGAAAGTAGTTGAGGATGAAAGGAGCATGCAGGGGTTGATGTATGGTTATGGTGGCAATTTGCACTAGAAAACCATAGCAGCTTAGAGGGGCATATACAACTAAAGAACATAAAATAATTGATACTAAAGACAATTAGAACAAATCAACATTCAACAAACACATCACATATATAATGAAACATGAACCAAGTTAATTAAAAAAACAATTGATAGCATAATATATTACTAGATTCTAGGGTAATAAACTAATGATATTTATAAACTAATATGAGCAGTGTGATAAACTAACAATTCATTGCTACCGTTGCCATAATAAACTAGTCTTATTGCACGGTGAATATGTTATAGTAAGTTCCCAAATGTGATATTACCTCATATGTTGTTAACCTGGACCATGGCAACCATGACTACAATAAAACGAGTGAGGTGATTTATGAATTCGTTGGAATCTGGTATTTTCATGCTATTAGGTGGCCATTAGTTTTATTGTCCCTATTCTTCCTCCACACACACCACTGATTTCACATACCAAGTACACAACATATAGAGGAAGCACAATCAGTTGCTCAGAATATACTAAACTTTGAGGAAGCACAATCAGTTCAAAGAAAATTGCTAAAAAATTAAAATTGCAACTCAATAATATTGTCTGACAAGTGAAACTAAGTTGCTCTGATCTCTAAAACCTAAAAAGATACCTTAAAACTCAACATCTAGCAAATTAAATAATTTACTATACCCAACTGAACGAATAAAAATGAGATGCAAAACAAGAGCACTGTGGTAATTGATTGTAGTTGATAAAGACCTTTGCAAGTCAACCAGTCTAGTTGGCATGGGTAACAATAGCAATAGACAAGATGTTCTCATGGAATAACATGTAGACATGAATTGATGAGGGACTTCTCCCTAAAATTTCATATCTAGGTCTAAGTTCAAAACTTTTAACCACACTTGGGATTGGGAAGAGCTATAACCTCCTCCCCCAAAAAGAAAAATCAGCACGATGGCTGACAAAGATATGCAAATACATCAAGTGTTCCCCAATACCGATACCCAATACTGACAGAACACCAAAGGCACCATCTCTATTGTACTATACGCTAGCAACCTTCCAAAACAGGAGACTCACTTGTTTAGCTGGTGGCCACACCCTACCGTAACTTCATTGTCAGATTGCAGTATCACAATTTCTTATCTAGTCTAATGTGGTTATCAGTGTAGCTCAAAAATCAAGATCATTTTATGTTGAAACCAGTCCATTTGACATGATTAATGTGAAATCTTCAGGTAGTAACCAAGAAATTGTTATATGATATCTACAATGCCAAAATCAGATACAAATAATCCCACAAACTAGACATCATGCATTGTCTTGACTTCCACACATGCTTCTCTCCTACAAATGTAGTAATGTTATGCTTTTCATATCAAGTCAATGGTATAAGTAAAAGGACGCATCTTGTCACGCACTTGACTAATGCCCAAACTTGTGAATGCGTGAGAGAAATCCCAAATGGAAGGTCAATCAATATTTCATAAACTTAGTTTCTATAGATTGTAACCAGCATCTCCTAACGTCCATGGCCATCTTTACACCTTTTTGGGACAATGATGCCACACCAACCTGTTGAGCATTACCAATGCCTTGCAAGAAACACGAAAAAGAACAAGACACATCCTTCTTGCACCTTCATAAACAGAAAAAATAAGCAAGCAGAACATGATCTCACATTTTGATCATAATTGCACCTTCATAAACAACAAAATAAGCAAGCAGAACATGATCTCACACTTTGATCATTATGATTCCAGTTACCAAAGAATCAGTACAACTTATTAAAATAATGCTACCTAATGGAACAATATACCTATGAACGCAGGTCTTTGTTCTTGCTTTTTCTACACCTGTAGATACATTATCTATTATGGCATGTGGCTCGTGTGTGTGGAACATGGATGGTTTCTAACTCACCTTATAGTTTTAAGTGTTCTCTTTCATTCCTAATCCCCATACAGATTTCATGGTTATTCATGTACTTATTTTCCTAATGAAGTTAAAGATACCATTGATTTTACTCTACACCTGCAGATATATTTTATATGAACACTATAACTTCCAATTTGCCAACAATATGTAAGTAAACAGGAATGATGAAGTTGATTGTCGAAAATTCAGATTGTACAAAGATATTCTTTGAAATATGCTTACCATGTTCCGTAGGAGCACAACACGGGTGGGCTGACCATTGATGTTGACACCTCTTGGCTTCTTTTCTGGCTGCTGCTTAGGCTCACTGGCATTAACAATAACCCCAGCTCGCCTGTCCGTCTTCTTCGCCATTAACGGAGTTGTAATCCCCTGCTCCTGCTTTCCAAGACCTTGCCCTGCCTTCCATCCCATTTTAGCCATCATCCTTTGTGCAGCAGTCATCTGTCCACCAGCACCAACACCCAAACCACCTGTTTCAGACTTTTCTATACTAAATCCATCAGCACCACCAGAAGGTGGTGAAGGAGACCTCCTTGGCACAGCACCACCACCACCAACACTCATAGCAGCACGCCTCTTCCAAGCCTCCTCACCGGAAATATTAAAGTCCTTCTCCCTCTCTTTCTCCATAATTTCCCTATCCCTCCTTTCCCTGTCCTCCTCTTCTTGCCTCCTTCTGTCGAGTTCCCTCTTCATCTCAGCCTCAGCAGCCTTCCTTTTCCTTTCCCTCTTGTACTCCTCGTAATCATTGGGCCTCGCAGGGTCGTATTCCTCAACCACCGACGACGTAACACCAACAAGTGCCGGTTGGAAAGAGGAGCTTCTATCCGGCACCGGGGGGGTAACTGCCGTGGAATTAACTATCCTAGGTTTGGTTTGCTGGGGTTTCAAAAGGGTTTTTGGGGGCGGGATGAGTGAAGAGGAAGAGGGCTTGCGGAGAGTTGGCGGTGCCATCTTGACACTGCTGGACCATACATTGGAGGAGGGAGTGGTGATTCGATTATGAGAATCTTCATCTGTAGATGATGGAGGAGGTAAGTCTCCATATAATCCACCAAGCATCGTTTCAGAATCGATGAAATTCAGAGAAGAGAATCTTGATCGCAATATAGGGCTTTTCCAGTAACAGGGTTCACCTTCTACTCTCGCTTATTCGATTCCACCCTACCGTAAAAGAGAGAAGAAAAAAACAATTGTTTGAGGTCAGCTCGTAAAACACAATTTTGTTTATTTTTGGGAGGATATGTTTTGATTCAACATGCTTTCCGATTTGTGATGATTATTTTTTCTGGCCATCTAAAATACATGAGTTACTCGTGTGTAAAGTAGGTTTGATTTCGACGAGAAGAGAAGTTATATTGAGATGCACATCCGGATCAATTTACTTCTAAAGCATAATTCATAGATGATTAAAAGTGATCAAAGGTTCAGATCTTTTTTATCGTAACTTTCTTTCGTCTTACAAAGTATTTACATGTCTGTCTCAAAAAAGTATGTACAACATGAAAACTTTAATCGAGCTTCCGAGCCGATCAATGGTGTTTTAAGATTCGACTCGTTAAATAAAACGAGTTTTATTTTGTACTTAAAATCAGCTCAAGCACGAGCCCGAGTAGCTCTTCGAATTCTCAAATATAAAAACTAAATCTTGAAGAAAGAAGAGCCCAAGAGACCCGATTGCTAGGAGAGGAGGCAACAGGCATCAAAATGACAGTCAGAGTATGGAGCAATGGTGTGAAAGGCAACAACGCATGCGGGCTAGAATGCAAGATTCTCCATGCTTTTAGTCTTTACCGAGTAAGACTCGCCCCGCCCTCGTTTACCACCATCGATCTGAACCATCGCCGACCACCGTTGACTTAGTAACGTCATTTGGCTTATGATTATATTTGGGTTGTGTATTTTATATTGTTTTACATATTAAATAATTATTTTATTAAAGTATTTTTAGTTTTAAAAAATTAAAATTTCAAAAAACAGCATTTTGGTCATTTACCAAAATTTTATTCTACGTTCTGTGAACCAAACAAAAAAATTCCAATTTCTTAACAGATTCAATTCCAATGTCTGCCAACCAAACAAATGGTCAAACCTGACAACATTTCATTCCAATTCCTTCAAAGTCAAATTCCTTTAACATATTTCATTTCATCCAAAAACATTTTGGGAACCAAACGCCACCTAAACATTTCTTACCCGTTAAACACTATCCGGGTAAGATTCTAATGTAGCAAATTGACATGGTAAAATTGTAGGTAAAAGGCCATTATTTCTTATTGTATCACCCAATATAAGGCAATAATTGTTTAGTTAACCAGTAAAAAGACCGGCAAGTGTTTGGTTGTACATATAAACAAAATCATATGTGAGCAACATTAAGTTGAAATGAATCAACAAAACAAAAGGTGTAGCGTTTTCTTTGGATAACATGTTTTCAAGTACCCACTTGATGAGTAAACCTCCCAACCATCAGCAGTAACACCCTATGGGAGTGGGAGTGGGAGTGGGAGTGGGAGGGGGGAAAGGATGGTCATCCCTATTTTGTTAAACAATGTACATAACTATTCTCAACATACATCTCTTGAAAGCCACTGCTACAGCTTTCAAGATCAAACCAAATTTACAGTAACGGCTAACCCAGCTCACTTTTGGTCGATGGAACCAGATGAGATTCCCGTAAGTGGTTCAGTTTCCCCCGGTGGGTTCATCTGATCAAACTCGGTGTCTGGCGGGCTGCCGCTTATGTCACTTTTGCCTTTATCATCATCTTCCTCTGGCCCTGATTTATCAGTGGTGCAAGATGGTGAAACCTCCCCTTTGTTGCTGTTATCAGTCACCGGTTTTGGGTCATGTCCACCTTTTGGGGGGTCATTTGTTACAGACTCGGAGGTTCCAGCTGGCTCTGTGATTGTATCCGATGGTTCAACGGAATCTCTCCATTCGACCCATTCAGGTGGCTTATCAGTCTCACTGGTTTTTGAATCAGTTAGCGAGTCACTCACTGCAGTATCAATTGAACTCGGTTTTGACTCGGATGTTGTAGTCTCTGAGAACTTCTTGTCGTTTTCGTTGGAACCACCATCATCATTGCCACCGGAGAATTCTCTGGAGTTGGGTGAAGATGAAGGTGCTGTATCAGTTGCTAGTTCATCGACTTCGTCCTCTTCCTCAAATGCAAACCAATTTGAATTTGCAAAAAGAGACCCGCTACAATAAAATAAAATAGAAACAAAACAAAAAGGAAACGAGAGATTAAACATAAATCATGGATCAGTATTTTCAACAACAAAACCAAAATTGTGTGAAATTATGCACCATTTCGAATGAAAGAATGTGTCTCAGTGTTTCCTACTCTCCATGTCTACCTTTGTCCTTACTTGTGTGACCTGTTACTGTATACTAGCTTTAGCTTTTCTTCTTATTACGCTGATAGTTGTCCGTACCGTACTTTGTGTTTCCCTTATTTGTTTGAACCTAGTTTGACCACTTTTGTCCATACTCTTTTGCATACACTCACTTAGAGATGCACAAAGAGCCCAAACCTGAAGCCCGGTCCAGGCCAGGACTGAAAGCCCGACCAGGCCGAAATGTTGGGGGTAGCCTGGTCAGAAATATTCTGGCCTTAAAAGTCCGATTGGGACTTTTTTTCAACCCCAAAGCCTTAACCAGGCGGCCTAAAAAGCCAGGGCCTTTTTCTTTACTCACAGAAACGAGGTTGGAAGACCCGCATCTCTACTATCACCTGTTGCTTCTCTTGTGTCTTTTTGCAAGTTGGGGGATTCATGGATGCAGCCTCTCTACCCCTTTGCGGTAGAGAAAAAGTATACATACATCCTACCGCGGTTTGTTTGGTACACATCAACAAGAAATAAATGATAAGTACTATTTTGCATTATAGATCAATTACTTACTTGTACTCCTTTGTAAATGAATTGCTACTACCTAGTTTCAGAAAACAAATAAATTGAAATTCCAACTTACATCTATAGGCCAAATGATGTATGTAGCTATAGGTAATGTTTTCTACTACAATAAATTTGCATTCAATAGCCTCATGTTTTCATCGTAAAATATTATATGCTGCCAAATTTTTTAACGTTTTTGTTTTAGTACCTTAGAGATATAATGGATTATAGCTTAGACAACTCTTCTCTTGACTTTGCCTTGTCTTCAAAAGCCGTTGTGCCAACTCTCAATCCTTTTTCAATAGACAAAAAACAAAGTCATTAGTACAGGCGTCAAGTGTGCATTAAAAACCACAGTTCCGTCAATAAAAGCTTATTGAGGGTAACGCGCTTTGCATTGAATCTTCAAACAACTGAAAAAATTCAGGCAGCAGTGGTTCAGTTGTGCTATGCGCGATTCACGCAGAGCGCGTTACCCTCAGTAAGCTTTTATTGACGGAACCGTGGTTTTTGATGCACACTTGACACCTAATGACTTTGTTTTTTGTGCAGTGAAAAAAGATTGGGAGTTGGCACAGGGGGTTGGGAAGACAAAGCAAGGTCAAGTAAAGCGTTGTTCTATGCTACAATCCGTTATATCTCTAACGTACTTAAAACATGAATGTGTAAAAATTGGCAGCATACAATATTTTACGATGAAAACATGGGGTTACTGAATGCAAATTTATTGTAGTAGAAAATATTACCTACAGCAGCTACATACATCATTTGGCCTATTGAATTTAATTTGGAATTTCAATTTTTTTTTCTGAAACTAGGTAATAGCAATTCATTTACAAAGTACAAGTAAGTAATTGATCTATAATGCAAAATAATGCTTAAAATTTATTTATGTATTGTTTATAAAAACAAAAGGTGCACTGTGCACATCTGTTTAGTTCATTATTCAACAAGAAGAACGTTAAAAACTACTCTAATATTTCATTATACTAGATTAAAGTAACTAAATGATTGTAGAATATTCTTGGATTGAATGATCAATCCTACCTAATAAACCAATAAAAACCCCTTCAGAAACCAACACATGCCAATAGGAAACATTTTGCTATTAAATTATATTAAGCAAGATATTTAACAAACCTTTCTTGGTCATCTCCCAACCCAAGTGAAGATATCACTACTTCACCAGATTCATCATCAAAATAGATATCCTGCAAAAGTGAGGTTAACTTTCATGTCACTTACAAAATTCTATAAGCATGCATAATATAAACTTTATAATACTTGTTATATGATATAAACTTTATAAATAATAACAAGGTATTTGCATTGCTTAAACATCATCTATTACAAAAGGATCAAGTAAGAACACTTGATACATGAACTAGAGCATTAAAAAAGTATGTAGTACACTAATACCACCAGTAAACAATTATACCCTAGTCATTATCATTTAGGTTTGGAACATATACATCATTATCGTATACCAATAGAAAAATATCCTCAGTTTGATTCCTTTTTCTTCCCTTGTAATTATTTTGAGTGTTTGAAATTGGAATTGGGCCATTACAAGGAGATTGATACACATACTGACATACCTCATTATCTCTTTCCAGTGAGCTATTAGCCTGAACACAAAAAAAAAAAGGTTATCAAGTGGATGACCATGGTTTTTTGTTGCAAATAATCATACACTATTGTCAAACAATAAATACTCTACAATCAGCCACATCATTGGAGAATATGTATATCATAAATAATAAGTCTAAGACACGCATTTGATTGGTAGGAATTAAATGGAATCTCCATCTCTGTTTGGGGGGAGGGTGGGGGTGGCAGCTATGATGACGAAAGTAGTATCTTGGTGGTGGGGGGTCACACCCCACCCAGCAACCACCATGCCACTACTGTCATCATCACAGTAACCTCCCCACCTGCTCCGGCCCTACCACCGTGGCCATCCTGCCACCCCTGCACTTGCCCCCACCTTACGGACCACCATGCTACTATTGTTGTTGTCATAGTTACGCCCAGCCACTACCTACCCACGTCAGTACAGAGAGGTGGGAGCAAGGGCTGGGTGATAGCTGTGATGACAACAGTAGTGGCATGGTGAGGGCAGGGTGGGGTGGTAGCCGTGACAAAGACAATGTGGCATGGTGGTTGTTGGGTAGGTGTGGGGGTGGCAGCTATGGTAACAACAAACCATTGGTGGTAGGGCAGGGCGGGGTGGGGGTGGTAGCTATGAGCCAGTGATGACGACAGTAACGGAATTCAATTCCTTCGCTTATCCCAAGGAATGATGAATTCATTAATTTGTGGAATTCAAAGGATTCCATCCATTTCAACATGTGAACCAAACAAAGGAATTGAATTTGGTCAAAGGAAATGATCATTCCAATTCCTTTGAATTCTGCGAACCAAACAGCACGTAAGAGTATAAGAGAGCCAACAAAGGCCTTTAAGTGGTCCTTGATAAAAACACATAGCAGTCATTGGCCACTCCCTGGTGTAAATAGGCTAAAGGCTTATATGTATACACACACATATACATAACATTTACAGACATAGACATATACATGGATATAGAGACACATTACCCATTGCCACAGACATGAAAACAGATCAAACAAACTTCCCTTGACCCACAAAACTACAATTATTTATTGTACTACTTTTTTTGTAACCATGGATGTTGGTTCAGCTTGCATGCACTTCCACTAATCCCCATGGGGTCCTGAGTCAAACCTCCAATGGCTCTTAGGGTACTCAAAATCCAAGGTCTTAACAGTTGGCTACCACATAATTTCACGACAGTTACACGTCTCTTTCAAGCTATGCCTATGCGTCGCTCAAGCTATCATTCACCAATCACCATAAACAACTCTGGGATCCAAGTTAGTTCTACCCCTACAACTCTTGAACACACAACCTAGAAGAAACAATCAGATTTGGCACCTCCACAACTGCGATGTTCTTCAAAGTTCATCCAAATTCAAGTAAAAAAACAAAAAAAAACCTCATGATTAAAATAGCAATGAAGGAGAGAACTGAAAAGATTCCCACCGTAGTGAAGCACCATGCACCGCTACCATGTAGTGGTGAATCAAACAGTCGTGGCCTTGGGCCTTAATTCTGACCGAAGTCCATAAAACAATTAAAATCGAAAATCATTAAATTAAAAAAAATGGAAGGTATTTTCAATTGAGAATTACAAAACTTTGGGCCAGATTATTTGTCTATGATTGGAGGTCCTAACAACAATTTCCTTACCAAATTTTATAGGATTTCACTTAACCAACACAACCATAGTAAAGAAGTACAAAAGTCCGTTGTGAGTAAACGATGTTGTCGCAAATGAGGAAGAGATGGTTCATGATGGTGGGGTCACAAGATGTCTGTGTTTTACGATGACTATAGGGGGGACAATAGCAGGATTCTGATTCATAATGGTGTCACCAAAAGTTTGTGATTCACAATGAAGGAAGAGGAATGACATGAGGATTGCGCTTCACAGTGGTGTCAATAAAGACCGTGATGGTGGTGGTGGTGGTTGTTTCTACAGATCGAACGCATAGGAGAGATGCTTTTGGCTTTTTTTCAATGTTTACCTGTATACTAGGTGTAGTTTATCTTGTTCCTTTTTTATAATTTATCATATTAAAATACCACATCTATAAATAAGTTAACTTACGTTAAGATGGCGACTTTTGCATGTAAGACCCAAGTACAATGCTTAAACTCTATTTTAGCAGGCATGATGGTTATTTTGCAACAAAGTGATGAATACAATGGTTCAAAACCTTATTTATTCTTTATTATATATGTCCCTACTAATTGCAGGCTCTTAAGGCAATTAGTTTTCTGTCTAAAGTTTCACAAACAAATAACGTCAGATACAAGGTGGAGTAAACACTTGAGAAAGCAAGATCATAATCGATTTGAGGGTACCTCCTTATTATCATCATTTTCACAGATACCATATCGAAACGCCTGGCTTAGATTATTGGCTAAAACTGCCACATCATAATCTTTATCTTGGTGGTAATCATCATCTTCACTATCTCTACCCCGATCATGAAATGCAGTAGGTCTCCTGTAAATTTGACAAGTGCAGAAACATCAAAACCACATACTGTCATGCAAAGTATTTTTCTCTCACCAAACTTAGTGATGGTCATAACAGGTAGACCTTGAAATTGGAACAAGTTGCAGACATGTAGCATTATAGCTCAGTCAATTATTGATCATTGGCCATTGCATCAACTGAATGTTAAGTATGTATTTCTCAATGCAAGTGGTGAGGGACGAAGGATCGTGTGACAAAAAGAGTTAAGGTGAGAAGCGTAAGAAGGGATCTCCACCCTTGATCACTTTTAATCTCATGCCCACCTATGAATTGCACTTTAGAAGGGAATTGATCTAATGCATCACATTAGTGTCGATCTTCAATTAGGATTAACCAGGGTGGAAATCCCTACTTACCCTTCCCACCATAACTTCCCTTCTCACTGGAACCCAACCCAGTGGTGAGGAGGGGGTTTATATACAGCAACCTTTGGGATTTGTTGCTCATGAGGAGATCAATTCAGGAGCTCCTTGGGTTTGATTTCCTTGATTCTACCAAATACTAGACTCTTGGGATGACTAGAAGTGCATATGTCGCATTCTATTTGAATGACATTGTGATTTCAGGCAATTTCACACAAAGGCTCATAACTCCGAAATTCTTCACCAAAACGAGTTTCAAAATAAACACCTAGGAAGTCTCAAATACTTATTTGGTGTTAAGGTCACCCGCAAAGGTGTCTTCCTATGTTAAAATTAGGTTCTTGACATTCTTGCCAAGATAGGGATACCATGTCCTCGAGGAATATAGAAGAATGTTGGGGAATCAAACTACCTCACAATCACATGACCTGACATTGTGTTCTCAGTGAATGTGATATGTCAGTTCATGTCATCTCCTTGTACCAATCACTAAGATGTCGTTCTACATATTTTGAGGTCTATTAAGGTGCAGTATGTTGCTGTCTTCTTTACAATAATAAAGGTCATACTAGAATTAATGGATATTGAGGAACACTCACTACAAGACATCGTGTTTTCTTTGGACGAAATCTTATATCATGAAAAGGAAAGGAATAGGATGTAGGCATGCCTCAAACTACTTGCGAATTAACTTCTGTTTGCTGTTTGATGAATGAGTTGAGCAATTCCTTGTTTGATCTATTACTGCAATAGTAAGGTGGTTGTGCCATCTTCTAGAACCAAATTTTCCATAAACGCACCAACTATAGTGAAGTTGATTGCCACTAAAATTTACGAGAAGGTAGTGGGTATTTCTTGTGAACTCCATCTATAGAGTCCATTTGGATCTGCTCTAGAGAATAGGTTGCTGACATTCTGACAAAGCCCTCCTACTAGGTTCTCAGATTAGTCTTGTTTTTATGTTCCAACTTGGAGAGTGTTACAATAATAGGGCTACTTATGCCATTTTGTAAATCTATTAATCTAGGTAGGGTTTCATCTATGTGAGACATGACCCACCACTATTCTACTCTAATCACCTATCTTCTAGTTTTTATGCATACGTTCGAGCATAACATTTATCACTCGGTATTCATATTTGGTAATAATTTCAAAGACAAGAGCCGTTCATGAACTCTATTTGTGACTTCAGATTCAGTTTTATGTGTTTGTCAGACGGGTAGTTAGTTTGCTGCCAATTAATTTATCTACGAGTACAACTTTGACTAGGAAAGGGCAATATTTTTCAAGCTGGAAAGAATACAGGAAAGGAGAACACTATAAACAAAGACAATAATACTTGTATAAATGACCACAACTTGAGAAACCTACATGTGCCATTCATGAGAAAAGAAAACAAAGGAAACCAATGTGATGCAACATATAATGATAACTGCAGAATACCCACCCGCACGCCCACTGGAAGACATTTTCAAGTTCATTGCGGCTCAGAAGTACATTTGTATGCCACTCCACCCATTCGCTAATATCCTGACAAAAAGTAACACCTTTTCAAAAACAGCATACCAAGGCAAAACACACGAATAAACATTCTTCTTGTAGCATAAAAACAATTAAAAAGACCACTTCAGAATCCAGAACTGCAGTAGCTTGGCATTAACCTTATAGCCAAGAGCAAATATATGAAAGTAAAAAGAATATGATCAGTTAAGAAACTGGCTCAATAGGGAACATGCTCACCCCCATGAAACCATCAGTGCTATAAAGTGAATAGTGTAGCATGCAGTAACAAATCATTAAGAAGGCCCATTAAAGTTGTAAACTAGAAAAAGAAATGACAGGAGACAGAGAAAGACATGGGAAGACCTGCAAATGTGCGTGTATATAGCTGTTATTAGCCCCTAGCCGAATGAGTTTGTTGGCTATACGTGTCATGTGTCCAACATTCCCTATCCTGGGTGGCATTCTTCCTTCAGCAGGGACTGTAGGCTGCATCATGTTTTACCAAATTCAGCATAAGAATAATTAAGTGCGTACATGTATGTATGTATCTATCTAGTTATCTATATGCATAGATATGTATGTATGTGTGCGCATGCATGTGTATGAATGTATATATGTATATGTAGTTATGTACGCATATATGTGTATCTGTGTATGTATGTCTACATATATACATGTATACATACTAGGTATATATATATATATATATATGTATATATATATATATATGTATATATATATATATATGTATATATATATATATATGTATATATATATATATATGTATATTTATGTGTGTATGGCCCGGTTCAAATGAGAATCACATATATTTTGAGAACCAGGGAACTATTTATTTTAGTGTATATTCATTGTTCAATATACTCATCGACATAATACAAATACAAGTGACTATATTCATCGATGAATATACAGTATTCATTGATGAATATAGACATTGACGGTATATACATATTTCTATGAAATTCGTATACTATATATTTATTAATGAATACACACTACAAATTAGTACCCTAGTTCTCAAATTATTTGAGATTCTCACATGAACCATCCCCTATATGTATGTATGTATGTATATATATATATATATATATATATGTACGGGAGGTTTACTTTGCAATCCACGTTATTTGTACAAATCGTGCAAACCTCATTCAACCAATCATAATTTTTCATTTTTTTTGTAATTGTGAAAGGTTGATTAGTCATTTTTATTGTGGAGGATGTTAATTATGGATATTATCATCGTCATTATATTAATTTCAGAGAGATACATGAAACAATTTCATTAAAACATATAAACAACCATATATGGAACTACTTCATAAGATTAAACAACTTCATTAAATTAAACAATGAAATCGATGAATGAGGGTGGTTTGCACGGTTTGTACAAATATGGGTGGTTTGCATTTGATCGCTCCACTATGTTTATACATATACATATATATATATATATGTGTGTGTGTGTGTGTGTGTGTGTGTGTGTGTGTGTGTATATATGAGAGAGATAGAGGATACCGAAGGAAAAAAGAAACCAAAGACCATTGAATATATTCATAAAGTTTAGGGACTTATATGTATACACTATTTTGAGAGATGCGAAATAGAATGCTTAGACTTAGAAGGATATAAAGAAATTCTTTGATTGGTTCTTCCCAAAGGAATGATCTAGATTTTAATAGATGAGATAACGATGTAGAAGGTTCTGAATCAAACCGAAAAACAATGGTCGAGAACTTTCTTTAAGAGCAATGTTCAGGGGCTTGTCAGTTTTGTTATACCCAGAAGAAAGAAGATAGAAGAGGGAAAGAAAAAGTAGAGTCATGCAATGGTGGGAACCAGAGATACCAGGTGACCCCAACCTTAATATAAAATGATTATCCTCAATCATGGAAAAGTTTACCATAACATTATTTCTCTCAGTGATCAATGCACTGTTCCTTTCGGCATCAAGAATCCTCCTGACAAGATTACAGTCCTCAAGAATATGCTCAACCAGTGAAACATTCTTGCTCTCAAGGCAAGAAACTACAATCTGTTCAGCATCATGATGAATGAAATTATTGTACGGATACCTAAAGTCATCAAAATATAGTCAAATTAAATATACAGTTCAATATTCTGACACAGAGCATATACGGAAATGCTGCAGAAAAGTGGGGATCTTACTCAAAAAATAACTCCAGAATACGTCTTAGGACACCAAGGCGGATCAACTCCTTCTCAGCAGCTTCACTTCCAACAGTCATTAGTACTGAGATGAATTCAACAATCTGAAATTTCCAAATTCAAAGCAATAAGATACTTTATAATGGTGTATTGCACTAACAACTGAAAACACGATAAAGAGAGAAAGGGAGCTTTAAAGAGTTAGGTGCTATGAAGTTATATATACTAGGCCATTTCTATGTAAAATGATATACTTCATAAGAACAGTGAATAGTACTATAAAAGCAAAACACAAAATAGATACCTTCAGGCGGTGTTTCCCAAGAGGTGGCTGCAACTTTCCATATGTTGTTGGTAAAACATTTTTTTCTGCCGAAACATCCAAGAGCTTTAACAAATTGCCTGCGCACAAGGAAGTAGCTTCATTGACGCCTAACACACCCTGCCATAAGCATGGCATACTAAAGAAAATGTACAGAAAAAAGTACATCAACTGACATACTTTAGCACCTTGATTTATTAGACTAAATTACAATGTAAGAGGGTACACATGTGTGAGATGTCACTGGTCGTAACATCGATTATGTCTCGAGTTAGAAAAAGTGAACTACTTTCAAATTGACATCAAGAAAAATCTGCCAAATGAGGGTATGTAGCACCTGGAAGGTGCAAACATAAACTTATTGACGAGATAACATACCTAGGCTCTCCAACATGCCTTCCAGAGTCTCAGGATTTGTTACCGCAGATCCATGACTTAATTGCCGATTATAAATGTAATACATCCCAGATGTTAGCCTCTTTGGGTCTAACAAACATATACATACAGACAACGCATAAACTAGAACTGATCTTGGTCGAGATTCCTCCAAGGCATGATGAAATAATCTTGCTATGAAACTGCAAATACATGGAAAAGCAAGTGGTCATTATAAGATGTGAGGAAGTGGATGATCAGCTGCAAACAGCTCATTAAAAACTAAAGAACATAATTAACACTAACCTTGGGGTTGAAATTTTAGCAGCTAATCCTGGGGGAGCATATCTAGCTATAGCACAAAGTGATTCTGCTGCATTAGCATGCACTTCAGGACAATCCTTAAAGAGTTAAATTTAAAATTGCGTTAAAACAATATTTTAATGCCAAATAACAAGACAGGCATGCTTTCTAAAGTAAAGGCATTGAGGAAATTCAACCTTCAACAAATGACTCAGAGTTAAAAATCAAACCACATTCTACCACAAAAGCAGTTTCCTTGTACTCCACGAGAACCAGCAAGTTTGCGAACAAATCTTCATTGACTAATGAAATGGTAAGTTTGACAATGAGAACTATGTCCTTTGTTCTTGAGAAAGTATAAGGTTCCCTCATACAATACAACTAATGAAAAGTCCAAATATCCTCCAGTGTAGAAAGCATGAGTTCTTTAATGACCTTCATGGGTGTTGAAGGCTGTAAAAACTAGCACCATTATTTTTGGGAACATCATATCCTTTATTTGTGGTGAATATGGAAGGAAGGAACAGAAAATCAATTTGAGTTGGACTCCACTTCTTGTCAGTTGCATGATGAAGATAAATGAACCTATTTTCGCACATTCATTTCAGCCCAAACAATTTAGGGGTGTCTTGGGATGTAAGCATTACTTGTTGTCTTCTCCTCAAGCTTGAGGGATGTGCTATAAGTGTCATCATCGGGTTACATTCATAGCAAGCTAGGGGTCCATCATCATCCAACTTAAAGAAGGATATTCGGTACTACGTCCATTCCATAAAAGAGATACATTTAGATCAACTCAGACCCACTACTTAATGAAGTAGAACATTACATATATTTTGTTTAGTTTATCATCCAACATCTTTTAATTTTATGGCCCATGTAATAAAGTTTAATGTAATTAATAGCATTGCTAAATTTGCAATGCAATATGTTTGATTTGGAAAAAGGTCAAAAATGTACATTTTTTTCCTGGAATGGAAGGGTGTGGCTCAATAATGAGTATTCCTCTGGTCTTTGCAGCCTAACAAATACCCTAAGCATCCTATTCATGGTTCTCTATGCAGTACTATATAAGAAGTTTCACCATAATTGCCAATTTTGCACAATTACAGGGAAAGGAAACAATGAGAGCTCATGGTCACCCATTTACAAATGAACTTCCGTTAAAAATCAATAACATAGTCCATGCACACCTAAAGCATGCCCACACACCCAGCCCATACAAAGAACTTGCAAAGATGTTTGAGAAACAATAAGAAGATAAGCATTGCCAGTTATTATTCTTAACAATTAATGCCTCAACAATAGATAATGCAACTTACCGAAGAACTGAATTTATCAACAATCATCTCTAATACATCAATATCTTCTAACCACTGCGTTGGGTCTGCATAACTGGTGTAAAGATGTTCGTCAGCACCAATCAGACGAATCAGCACCTGTTCAAAAAAATACTAATTAGAAGGGATACAGATACAGGGGTAAGAATAGGGAAGTTCGAGAATACACCTCCATGATGGATGTAATTCCTACGAGGTCAACCAGCTTTTTGATGATGTATGGATGGGCCTGATCATTAAATCATTAACAACTTGGTTATGTAACGTCAAAATAGATATCATACACACATATATACATGTGTATATATTTATCTATTTGTATAGAGGATGAAGAAAACAAGCTCTCTCACAAATTCCAATGGTGAGGCCAAAGGAGAGAGAGGTACAGATGTCTATACTAAGCAAAAAAACAAACAAATTTTCTAAAATCCATTAAACTAAAATTTTAAAATGTTGACTAGCACTAGGGTAATAAACTTCCTGAAACAACAATACAACTTATGTGGGGAACTTACTTGAATATAGTTCATTAAAGGAGCCGACTTCCGGAACATGAGGCAGGCAACAACCTAAATAAGAAAACTAAGCATCATCATCCATCTAAACAAGTAAAAACATGATGCCTATATTCGCCAGGAAGAAACATTAAATTAAAACATTAAATGAATGAATTTCTACCAAAATAACAAAATGTATCCACACATTAAAACTAAACTAAAGAAATTTTACCTTACTGAAGTAACCAGCCAGTAGGGTCTTATGAGGGTGTTCTGGTTCCAGGAAGGAGAACAGCAAGTTCATCAACTGCAACAACAAATGAACTTATTTTCACCAATCACAGTGGAACAAAAACTCAGATACTATCTGATTCGTGATCTCACTCACCTCCTCATCCTCTACCAAGGCTTTTAGTATGATATCAACTTCACAGGTAAATATCTCACAAGCAATAAAAGGGAACCTGGTATATAACCAAATAAAAATCTGTTGGTGAATGCCTATATAAGCATGAAAACAAAGGTATGCCATGAAGGAAATTCATTTTAGATAGAAAGGACCGAAGAATCATATTCTCCATGTGCACCCAGATACCTACTTAAAAGTTCGTCCATTTGCAGCATCTTCATAAGCTTCCTCGATTATGTATCGCACAAGCTGTTCAACTTGAGTCCTTTCCCTCAAACTACACTTGCAGCAAATGGAAGTACATTTAGATTCAGAAAACAGGTTATTGTTTGCAGTGTCAACAAAAATAGATCGAAAAAGAAAATTGTTAAGAGTATCGCCATCATATGACAAACATTGTGCATCTTAATAACAAGTAATATCAAAGTCAATATTTCACAAGTTGCGAATTAAGAAAAAAGTCGATCCCCCCCCTTGAAAGTAGTTCTGACAGTACTTTCGCGGTTTCAACTCAAACGGATTGATTTCACGATAATAATCACCGAATGCGCACGTTCCATAGCCAAAAATGAAGGCCTGTACATATACATTTACTCATGAATGCAAGTTTACAAAAACGGCATGGTTAAAACGTAATTTTTGGTACATATATAATGTATTGCAAAAATGGATCCGAAACACATAATCACGTGATTTCAAGATTTTCAAACCTAAATGAAACAAGCTTTTGAAGCTATCACCAGACTTCTAAACTCAGGAGTATCACAATCGTCTGCTCGGCTTCAGTTTCAGTGATCTTCAATATTTCCTTTGTTTTTTTCCTTTTATTCAGCTCTCTCTCTAAATTCTCTCTCCAACTTCTCTCAGTTGAGTTGTGTATGTGTGTGTATGAGGATGAAGAACAAGGGAACACTGGCATTAATGTATATATAAGAGGTATGAACAGTCGCTTAGCTTTGAAATGACTAATCTGATTGTTTGACCACATAATCTAGGATTATGTTTATGTTTTCAGTTTGTATTTCAAAATACATACTTCTCATTATAAATCGACTTACATCATAATGATCCTATTTTTTCATCAACATTACGGTATATAAACATCATAATATGACTTGTACATTAAAACAATGTATTTATTTGGGGTGGGAGTAAAGAGAAATGATGTATTTTCCTAATTCTAGTAACTGAACTTTCTTTATATCATTAGCAAATCTCATTTTTCTCTCATTGGCATCTTAGAATATAATAAACTTTTAGAATTCCTAACAATGATAATTCAACATACCGCTCATTATATCTTGGTTGATGCATCAAATGTGACCAAAGCACAAAAACGATTACATCAATTGATCGCCTTATTTTCATGAGTACAACGGTATCCCCTTTTTATGAATCTCATGTTTAACTAATAAATGTTTATTATTATTAAGACATTCTAATCTTAAAGCAACAAAACATTTTATAATTGCCTCATATCAACTAAGCCGTCACATTTACGTTTATTTTATCATTGTAACAGCGTAATTGTTTTCTATCTCGTTGATGTGTATCAAATTCGTAGCAATAATTCAATACTTGGTTACATGAACTGTTGCCATATTCCCGTTTTATATGGAAATGGCTAGGGCCTATTTTAGGTTGTTATATAATATATCATGCCTCAATGCCGCCATACTCGGTGGAGAGACCCTGGAGTCTAGAGAGTTGGAGCCTCTCACAACTATTCGTTACTTGGGTGTTCCTCTTTCCCCGGTTCGTCTGAAGGTACGTGATTTTAATCCYCTTGTGTTAAAGATTAAATCTCGTTTATTAAACTGGAAGAATAAATTTYTATCTTATGGCGGGCGTCGTCAACTTATCATTTCTGTCCTCCAATCTATGCAAACGTTTTGGATGTCGGTATTCCTTGTACCGGCAGCCACGATTCATGAAATTGAGAAGCTTTTTCGAAATTTTTTATGGAGTAAAGCGGAGGGACAAAGGGGTAAATGTCGTGTTGCTTGGGATTCTATTTGCATGCCTATACAAAGTGGGGGTCTGGGATTGAAAAGACTTGGGATCTGGAATAGGTGTCTCCTTTTCAAGCATATTTGGGATATTCTACGGGAAAGAAATACGATGTGGGTCTCTTGGATTCGCTTTCACTGTGTTCGGGGACGAAAYTTTTGGGTTATCAAGAAGAGGAATGAATGGTCTTGGATAATAAGGTCTCTCTTAGATTTACGACCTCATTGCAGACGCTTCTTTATCTATGATGTGGGTAATGGCTTATCGACACATGCTTGGGAAGATACATGGAGCGTTTCGGGACCACTTATTCAGGTTTTGTCTTATAGATTTATCAATGGGCAGGGTTTCCACAATAATTCTACGGTCTTTGATGTAATGCACAGWTTTGGTTCAAACTGGCCGGYTGATTGGCTTCAACGTTATCCTCAGCTGCAAAATGTCCTTATTCCTTCTCTCTCTCAAGGAGTCGATAGAATACGTTGGCTTGCTAAAAATGGGGCTAGGGGTGAYTTTCAGGTAAAAGTGGCGTGGGAGACTATACAAGAGGTACATCCGATTGTGCATTGGTATAAACTTGTTTGGAATAAAGCCTTCATTCCAAAACATGCACTTTGTATGTGGATGGCGTGCCAGAAGAAATTGCCTACCCAAGATCGTATTASTCAGTGGAAGMATGAACCCCCGGATTTAAAGTGTGTGTTTTGTAAATTAGTGATTGAAACGCATAATCACTTATTTTTTGAATGYTCGTATTCAAGCAGAATTTGGGATTGCATTAAAAAGGAGGTGGGATTATTGTCTTATCCGAAT